ATAAAAGCAGCCCCGGGAAGCGGGGAGAGCGCACGGCGGCGGAGCGCGGCGCCGCGCCCGGCCACGGCCATGACCTCCGTGCTGGGGACGAGCAGGGCGGCCGGAGGGCCGAGCGGCCAACTGAAATGCAAGTCCAAAAGAAGGAGGAGGAGGCGATCGAAGAGGAAAGGTAAGAGAGCTAGAGAGCTTTCTTTTTCTTTCTTTCTCTCTTTTTTTTTTTCCTTTTTCTACCCGTCTTTCCCACACGTGCATCCTCACCTACAGACACCTCGGCTGCTCCTGTTTTTAGTCTGCATTTACTTAGCAACCGGGCACTTGGCAGTGGCCTTTGGGATGCTCCCTGCCCTGACGGCCGGGGCAGGGGCGGGGAGGGTGCGCGTTATCCTGCCGGGAAGATTTGCCCAGCCAAGCGGGGCTGTTACCTGCTGCGAGCCGGTGAGTGCAGGGGGGAGCAAGGGCTGTCGCTTTGGGAAGGGAAACGGCTCTCTGCCTCTCTTGCTTGGGGCCAAGTGGGTCCGATTCTGCGGGCCGGGGCTCGCCGTGCCCTGCTCGGGGCAGCCGGAGCCCCGGGTGCTGCCCTGCAGTGTCGCCAGATCCACATAAAACTGCAACTAATTCCGATTTTTTTCTCAGTATCTTCTTGCGATCGCCGAGGCGGGCGCAAGGCTGCGCGGTATGTTTGACTTGCACATGTAGAGTGCAGATATTAGTGCCCAGGCGCGACTAAATGGCAGAGCTTCTTGGTGGCAGCGAGACAAGGTGGGCACCGGGCTGAGCCCCCAGCTGCTGCCCGACAGGTTGCTGCGGTGAACTGCTTTTTTTTTTTTTTTTTTAAACCTGAAGGTCCGCTGAGTTTTGCTATGCTGAAGTTATTATGTGCAAAGGTATTGTTCCCCTTCTGAAAGGAAATCTTTGCTCGAGAAACGTTAAATGTCATAATCAGATGAGGAGAGCTAGAGGATGTCATTGCAAGCAGTGGATATGTCCTAGATAAAAGCTCTTCTCAAGGCTGTCCTGTTTTCTCCTGTAGAGAGGATGACACACTATTGCCTGATTTTTTGATGTTTTGCTTGAACAGCCAAAGTTAATAGACTGTGAACACTTTAAAGTAAAATGAACAGATATAAGAAGCAGAGTGCCAGAAATGCCCAACTGTGATGCATTAGATTGCAAAGATGCTAACGAGAAGTGTTAGATTATCTAAGTCATATATTTCATCTAATCTGCAATTGTCATCATTATGTAGGACTAACGTAAGTTTTAGTTAGCTAGCTCATCAGCTCAAGCTGATGGTTTGGCATTATTTCTTCTGATTTTGGAAACTCTAATTTGGAGGCCCCATTAGCTAAGTGTCTTTTAATTATTGGTTATTTTAGAGCCAATAAGCATGTTACTCGATAACTTTTTAGAAAGGAGTCAAAGCAGGTTTTGTATAGCAACTAGTAAAAAAAAAGTGGTCAAATGCTAGACTATATAATCTGATTCTCACTACTTTAACTTTCATGTCTAAGCTCTTCTGCTTAGGTCACTGTTACTATGACTATGAATAACAGAAGTAAAAACAACAGACGTGTAGATATGTCAGTAGTGCCAGTATATGTGTAACTGATTTGTTGCTGCAAATCTTTAGCATGTTATAACACCTGATGCAAAGGTTTTGTTGTATGCTGCATTACACAATAAATCTTAAAATACTGAGCAGAGGAAGAGCTCCCATACTCAATGCATTTAAATCTGTGTGCACTTAAGTGGTGCTCTACAGACTTCTCCCTGTTCTCTTTATTCTAGCAAAACTACTTGTTAAGGGAATTAAAAAACTTAGCCTAGTCCTAGCTATCCTGTGCTTGGCAAACGGAAATGATGCAATAATTCATTCACCTATGTAACAGAACAAAGGTGCTCTGTTTTAAAGGTAGATTGTGTTAATCTTCTTAAGAAATGGACAAAAGTGAGGATCTTTTAATAAGACTTGTTTTCTGCTGCTTCCTTTGTTGCTGTGTGTGTGTTGCCAAAATAATGAAGGAGTTGAATGTCTTAAAGCTGAAAACTTGCTAAATAGTAACTTGGTAAGTGACAGCTATTTGCAGAATACCCAGCTGGAGGCTGGTGGCGTTCTAGAAGGCGCTTGACTGACCAATATCAATAAGATACTGCGCACTTGAAGGGTTCATTTTTTATTCTTTCAAATGTGATACTGTAACCACTTTCCAAATAACGTAATTGGTTAGTGTAATAATTGTAGGAAGCAATGCTTGTGTTCATACTTCTTAGAATTTCTTTTCTATATGCTCACAGTATATATTCACATATGTACATTTCTATGAATTTATACTGGCAAAAATGCCTGTAACTTAAGGCATGCCCAGTATTAAACCTGTTGGATTTAGCTATTATGCTAGTTTGTTTACTTATCGTGTATTTCTGTCTTTTTTGATGGTGTCTAATACAGAAGGGGTATTTAACAAATTGGCTATACTGATGATTAGTCAAGAAAATTAATTCCCATAAAGAGGTAGCCTTTTATAAGGCTAATAAACATATGTGCTCCACTATTGTGCAAATCTGTTCTCTTAATAAATGTGAAAACCCTTTTTAAAGGGTTACCTGCAAACCACTCACATCTAGCTATTCTCCAGCACTTATCTTCTTGTTTATAGCAAGAATACTTTTAGTCAATGCTTTTAAGCACGTAAATATCCACACATATTTATGCATACACACATATGCACACACATGCAAAGATATCCATGCACATACATACAGAAAGAAATTTGTTCCAGTCTTACATTTGAATTGAGTATTAATCAGAATAAGAAAGTGGAATTATCTGTCACATTCACACCCTTTAAGGAGATGAATTTAACAGATTATTTATATGAATTAATATATTGTATCGGTCGTGTTACATATTAACTGTGTTTAAAAACACATTGAGGCATTGCTTTACAAAACATCCAGGAGTGCCTTGTAGTAGAAACAAACATTATTTTCTACTTAATAGCATTATTTTTCTCCCTCTAATTTACTTTCCAGGTATTTATTCATATTTTTGTCCTGATCAGTGTGAATTATAAATTAGCATGTTTGTGTATAGCACTTTGTTCCATTTCTCGTATACCTTAGTTGTCAGTTTTAGGAGTTTCCTGGCGGGTAGAAAGCAAGTTCCAGCCGGGAAAGCAAATAATACACAGTGAATTTAGTTATTCAGAGATTATTTAGGCTGAAAACAATAAAAACCACGTGCCACAAGAGGAAGAGAGAATTTCCATATACGCAAATAGAGCACTGAAGACTGTAAGACAGTGAGTGTGATTCCAGTGTACAAAGACATTGTCCAGTAATTAATTTGCATGCACCTTATTTTAAGGTTTATTAAATCCAGCCACCATTCAGTATAAAGCTCCTACCTTCATGAGCTATCATTAAATATCCTTGCAATGCAATATGCATTGCAAGTATATATTTGCATAGTGATTGCATTCAGTTTTATACTGCTTGGAGAAAGTATGTTAAAAAGCTAAAATATTTGGATGTTCATAGCTATTTGTTAAGTTATTATAGGTAGGAATATTTTCATTGTCATTAAGAAAATAAGCATATTAACTCCCAGTGGGAAGTAAACATCCAAATTTCTCAAAGACCAAATGAAAAATAAATATAGATGCTTGCCAGAATATCTGTATACTAATTTTATGTAAGAGCAATAGATAATAAGAGTAATAGATATCTTATTTTTCTCTCTTTTTTTGTCTATGTGTATAAAATGACCAGAAGTTAGATTTCTCTAACTCATTAAGCATATTTTTCTATTTTAAATGTTTAGGGGTTTAACAGAAGTGGCTGGATTTGTGGGTTCTTGCTTTGTGTATTCCAAGGCTTCGGAATATGCCAGAGTACTGACAGAATTCAGCACAGAGGCTTCAGCAGATTTTGTGCAGATAGGCTGGTATAGACTTTAAACAGAAAGTTTGTTTTCAGAGATAAATGGTAAAAGCAGAGACAAAAGCAGAGTTGCCATTTCGTGACAATGCCAAAAGGGCCACACTTCAGCAGCCTTCAGCAACTTCTTAGAAATCAACCTATAGAAACTACATATGAAAGGGATGGTTGGAAATATGCCATTTCTTAGTTATTTGCCAGTACATGACAAGAAGTAAAGCACCTTATTTGTAATGCTGTTTTTGCAGAGCTGGTGATTAAAGTTAATTATCAAAAACGGGAGAGAATCAGGTATCCCTGATGCTGCGGCAGAAAGCCATGACTGAAGTTGCCGCTGCTACAATGGGACATGAAATAAGAGTTGACAGAATAAACTAAATAAGGACAGCAGAAGGGTGTGAGAGGCAAAATGATTGTGAAATGAAATTCCATGAAAAATTAATGAAATAGAAAGACTGTGCTGGGGACGGAGGGAGGAAACCAGCTTGGTTCTTCATCATCCTGCAATGCCAAAGTAATAAATGAGCGTGTTTCATCTTGGCTAGGTTCAGGGACACAACTCCTTCTCCACAACAGGATTGTGCCGCGCTTCAAGATGCGTTCCGCTTATCTCATTCCCTGACAGCTCAAGAGGAAGGAACTGGATCTGGTGATAGAATTAAATTGATTAAACCTTTATCCATCACCTAATTTTGTGCCTTTCTTTTTTCTTTTCTTTTTTTGCTATTACCTCCAATTTCTAGTGATCCGTGTAATGACAGCAATTTGAGATAGCATCAAAGACATTAGCTACAATGACTGAACTTAAATTTAGAATAAAAATATGGAATTCATGAGTCCATGTCTAAATAGCAGACAATTAGGTTATAGCAGAGTTGTAACTTCCTAGGACCAGCACATAAGTGTGAGGACAATAAAAAGGCACGTCTTGGTTTGAGAGAGAACAAAATATTTCAACTTTACCTCAAAGCATTACTTACATAAGTAGAAAAAATGCTGACATAAATATGGAACGTGTCTTACATGAGCAATCACAAAAATAGCCATCTTTACCTTTTTAAACACAGAAATCGAGTTGGATGTTTTGCTTTCTCCAGTGGTAATGCAGAGGCATATAAACCAAGTTGCAAAGTATCACAGTTTGGAAGTTGCTGCATGTTGCTTAAAATTCTGTAGCTCCTCTTTTGTGATTTGGGTAGGGAAATTCTTCTGTAAGGTGGTCCTTTACAG